AGTGTTTTGGCCCCTGTCCACAAGATGGAAGATTTGATTTCTAGACCAGACACCAGTTTGGTATTTGAAATCTGCCACTTTCTAGGAAAGCCTGAGAAAGAGTACCTTTCCACCCCTCCTGGTAAATCTGGGCCACTTGCCATGAGGAATGCAAGGTGCACTGGATCAAAGAGAAGGTGAGGACAGGGCAGTCAATCTCAGTCTGGTTTCACAGCCCTGCTTGGTGGGTCTGCAGCAAGGAATTTCTGCTGCTTTCTCACCACACTCCAAGAAAATGGGATTTCACACCCGTCATGCCTCTTCCGTCCACAGTCCTTTCTACTTGGCCATCTCCAGGTGCCCTGACCTTTTCCAGGGTTTTCTCTCCATAAGGTCTCAATATATTAGAGCACGTAGGCACTCCATTTTAGGAGTAAGAAATGTAATTATCTATTTGTCTAGCAGTCTGAACATAACAACATTAGAAATGTTAGGCCTACCTACCCCAATATTGTGGCTATAACCTAGGCCAAGAGCAGATGTCCACGGAAGAGGGTGAATACAAAGCAGGCACACAGCAGATCTTCCTTAGTGGATTACCCCATCTTCCAGTGGTTTTTGCTCAAGCGCTTCCTGAGCCAGAGCTGATGTCTCTGTCCTGGAAGATGAGGTGTTTTGCACGTCTTGAAGGTGAGAAACATGCATGTGCTGACTGCGGTTTGTTGTGTACAGTGAGTCTCACGGAGCAAGAAGCCTCAGAGTGCTGCTAAATATACGTTGAGCTGTTGATGCAAAACACAGCCGGGACATGATGTAGCATCTAGTAATGGTTGGTGAGCCCAGTGGAACAGAATAGGTCACAGAAAGGTGAAAACAGCTACTTTAGACAGGCTTTGCTCAACTAAAAGCTACAGGACAGCTAAGAAACCTAACGCATTGAAACAGCTTGTCTCTCACAAATGCATTCTTGGATATCGCTCATCCTTGGCATCACAGCTACGTTTGACCCTTTATAAATGCTTGAAAATTGCTAGAGGTGGCAAATCTCTTAAGTTCTGCTGTTCCAACCAACATTTCTATCACTAAAACTGCTCATCACAAATATTAGTGGAAAATGAACCCTGAAATGGTGTATGTTTTTTTCAGCGGTGGAATTATTATTATTTTTTATTTGAATGAACATCTGAGATGCAGGTTAGCCTGCTCCAGTCCTGCACCAGTGTGGGACAACAACAAAGTCCTCACAGGTAACCAGCTGCCTCTTTAGATAAAGCAGTACAGGTATGAATGCTACATTCAAGAGATGTGGAAATACATCAATCACAGCCCAGCCACCACAGAACAAGACAGAACTGGGAATCTTCTGGGCTGAGCCAAGTATCAAAACAGCAAACTCTAAAGGCCTGACAACAGGATGAAAATATGCGTTCAGTTGCAGAGGGGCGATGTCACAGGGAGAAATTTCATCAATTGTCTGCTGAGTGTTGCTTTCTGATCTTCAGTTTAAGGAGGAAACCCCTCTGCAGGCCTGGAGAGCTAAGCAGAGACAAGTGAGGCTCAGAACTGGGGGCCAGGGCCAGAAGACGCTTCCCTGGACAGGACAGAGAGCCAGGAGAAAGTGAGGGAGGGAAGCAGATGGATGTCCTCCTCTCCTCCTTCCTGATATGGGGCTGAGACATAAAGCATTACTGCTGGGAAGGATCCAGGCTCCTGAGATGACAGGCCAGACCTTCAGGAAAGGCATTCAGCATGTGGTTTTTCTCTACAAGTGTAAATTCACATCTATGGCTGCACTTTGCCAGTTAAGGCTTTGCGCTTGGCAGCTGACAGTCATTTAAGGGTGAAGGTCTCTTCAGCTCAGTCTCAGCCCTGTGGCTTATACCATATGCCAAAAGTCAAGAAAAAAAAAGCATAGCCCGTGCAGGCAGCTTAAAAAAAGTCACAGGCATCTCCTTCCTGAGGCTCACTCACGGGTGCTAAGCACGGGAAGGAGACTTGAAGCAGAGCAGGAAGGGTGGAGGCAAAGGAAGGAGTCAAGAGAGAGAAGCGTTGGGAACCACGTGTCTACGGAATAACTCTTCTACCACTTCCTTCCTGCCCTGCACCATCGCTGGCTGCTTGCTGGTGAGACAGGTACCGCCGGGGGAAGCATGCCTTTGTACAACCTGCGGCGAACAGCAGGTGTAAGCAGTGCAGAAAGGAGAATATTCAGACAAACACAGAGTCAAGAGAAGTATGCAAGGCCCAGGGGGAGGGGAGGAGAGTGCACCTTCAACCACTCTTGAAGGTTTTTTTGCTAAGGTGCGAGAGGTAGACAGCCGCTGAGTAACCAAGATGGCGTGCGACTGTGCCATGTCCCCACCTCGGCTGCTCCCATCTCCCTTATGTATGAGTTGTATTCACCTGCTGTTCTTCACCTTAGAAGGGAAGGTCTCCAAGACTGCTCTGTGGTGTGCAGGTGTACAGTAGCTCTCACATCGGTCAGACGTGTCTGAGTTGAGGACAAGCTCTCGTATGCCAGGTCCCAGGTGAGGTCTCGGTGGAGAACCGCTGCTGACCCTGAAACCGAGCACTGTTTTTATCCCCTCTAGACAGAGGTTTGGTAGGTGGCCCAGAGAAGACCCCACCTCATTCACCAAGGGTGGCAGATGCCCAGAGGCAGCAAAAAACTCAAGTCACCACCAGCCCTTATCGCAACTATCATTTTTCTAATGTAACACCAGCTATTGGTACACTTTCACTGCTAGGAAAGAAGGGAAGTAATTTTACATCCTCCCACACAGAAATCTTGCAGCAGGCCTGCTGAGTACTGTGTCGTCTTCCCCCCATGCAGTGAGGATCCTCTTCTCCCGTTGTTCTTAAGATGGGACATTTGAAACTACAGGAAACTTCAGATCCCCCTTGAGAGGGCTTGAACATACCCACCAGGCTCCAGACGGTCTGACTCTGAGACGTGGAGGGATGTGGCCCTCTGGCAAGACGCTTTGGCCCAATTAGCGTGGTGACCACTGCCTGCTAACCCTCATCAACGTGTCAGCACGCAAGTGGAGCATGGTTTGCCACAGGGGGAAGTGGAAGGTAGTCGCAGAGTGCGGTCGCACCCTCTGGTGTACTTACACGCACACACACACACACATCTCCTCAGTTCCTCTGTCTGTGGAGGCCCCTTCCAAACGTCCTCACCCCAGGAAACAGCTTACACTGCGGTCGGGGATGGGGATGGCTGGTACTGCTGCCTGTGCCCCCGCCTGCTTGTTTGCCAGGACATCTTCACGCAGAAGCTGCTGTCATTGAGCAGGCTCTGACTGCGTTGGGGTACTTGCTGGAAATGAACACCTCTTGGCATGGGCCAGGAGAACCTCTCTTGGTGTTTAGGGCTGTGAGGGTCTCACAGGCTAAGGCAACCCGTGTCCATTTCCTCATACCATTCTCATCATCTGGTAACCAAACTAAGTCAGGGGACCTGACTGCCCTTCAAGCTCTAGGGATCTTGCATGGCAGGTGCTCTTTAGGCATTCAGGGTGGAGCTGCTTACGCCACCCCAGGGACTGCTCTTGCCCACGTGGAGGGGAAGGAAGGTCCCCACCAGCTTGTCCACCCTTCCAGAGATGCAGGAGACAATCCTACTGCACTGGGAGCAGACTGCTTCCCCTTGGTTTGCTTGAGACGGGCCCAAACAAGCAACAAATAAATGTTCTGAGGCTGCTAAAAGCTACCTTCTCCCCTGCATGAACTCAGGGTTAAAGAAATTGCTCATACACAGTGTGAACCAAGAAAGCTCATGCCCCTCCTCTGCCTGAAGGGACTCAATCTCTGTCAACATATCTCCTCCTTCTGGAGTTAGCTGACTGTTGCCTGGAGCAGGTGTCCATCCCATAAGAGAATGCCCAAAAGATTAAGCCAAACAACACCTTTTTTTATCAAGGTTGTTATACAGGGGACACCTGCAACTCATAAATACAGAAAAGTACAATTTTTAAGGGCACACAACACCGTTATGGCACACCCACCTCCGTATTCCTCTCTTCGCTTGGAGAATACTTCTGCATAGAAATCATCATGTGACTTTGCAAGAAATGCTTCTCCTAGCTCTACTTAACACTAACCAAATACCAAGTCTGCTTTTGTGTATGGTTATCTTGGAAATGTGGAGTTTTTTGTAACCACACCTCTTCAAAGAGCATTAAGTTTCTTCACCTCCATATCTTAAATGTGTGCCTGTTCTTCTCTTTTGTCTTGCTGACTTCCTCTAACTGCCCATATTTCCTGTTGTTTCCCAGAGGCATCATGTGGTAGGCAGTTTCACTGGTTTACTATGGTGGGTGTTATATAGCACTACAAGTTTATGTTCTTCAGCTGCAGTTATTCATTAAGAAGAGGGAGGAGGGAAGTATGAATTAGCTAGATCTGAATGACTATGTTGTAACACATTGTGGAGGTACACACCAGTGGCCAGATTCTGGTTCCTGTATGCTATGTAGTCTCTGACACAGCAACTACCACCACCCACTTCAGACAGTTCCCCCATATGACTAACCGTAAATGATAGCTTCTTTTGGAAGTCTGCCTCTGAAATCTCTACCGTTTCCATATTTTGTTACTCAGTTTGAAAAAAAAAAGAATTGAAGACTAATACCCTTCATTTCCTGTGGGAAGTGACTTTAGTAACTGATCAGCAGCTCTGTCTTATTTATGAGGCAGCCTGGTTTAGGAACAGTCCCCAATACCCCATTTTAGTGAACAGGCATGCTGTAGTCAAGAAATTCCTTGTGAAAAAAGGCACTTTCTCCTGGAAGTAAATCAGACCTGATTCTCAGGAGACACTACAGGAGACCAGCAGGTCTTGGAAAACTTGCCTGTCTTAGATGCCTCCCCAAGACAAGCATCCCACTTGTTGCCTTGACATGTCCTGTTGGCACCTATGGGACCATAATCTTTACTGATGCATTTTTAAGTGATGCAAATGCTAACTTTCCACCTTGTCTTCTGATTCTCAGGAAACACCAGCTGGAAAAAGAATAATGGAAAATTGTACAGACACAACCAATAACTCCTCTTGCCCAGGAATTCCCTATGAACACAGCAAGACACTCCTGGTTGCTGTTTACAGCATCGTTTTTGCCATAGGCCTTCCAGCAAATTGCTTAACTTCCCTGCTTACATTAGTACAAATCCAAAGGAAGAAAGTAATTGCCATCTACATTTTCAGTTTATCATTATGTGAGCTGATGTATTTAAGTACCTTGCCTCTCTGGATTATCTACGTGAAAAATGGACACTGGTGGAATATGGGTGAAAATGCTTGCAGAGTAACAGGATTCATCTTTTTCTGCAACATATACATCAGCATTCTGCTTTTGTGCTGCATTTCTGTGGATCGTTATGTGGCACTGGTGTATGCTCTGGAGTCAAGGGGGAGAAGAGGACAAAAAAAGGCAATCATAATAGTGTGTATTCTCTTTGCTGTGGTTGCAATAATCCACACTCCTGTATTTCACATGGAACATGATATGACAGGTAATAACAACACCTGCTTTGAGACTTTGCCCCTCAACATAAAATTGGCTTCTTTCAGCTTTGCCAGATTCCTATTTGGATTTGTCGTACCTTTCACAATCCTCATTTTCACAAACTACAAAATTTTCCGAAGTACAAAAACAAGCAGCAGCTTGACTTGTCGCCAAAAAGCCAAAGTGAAGTATCTGGCTATTGCCATTATTGTCATTTTCCTGATCTGCTTTGCTCCGTACCATGTGGTACTCATAATAAGAGCCATATACTTTATGTTTCATCAGAATTGCTCATGTCCATTTGAAAAAGATATATATTCCATTTTTACAGTGTTTCTGTGTTTAGCCACTGCAAACAGCATTGCTGATCCAATCATCTACGTGCTGGTTAGTGAAAACGTCAGAAAAGATTTTTATAGGACTCTGAGAAGATGGAGATTGAACTCATCCAGGATGAATTCATCCATTAATCATAAGACGGACAGCATAAAATTGAAAATGTCAAAAGAATCACAGGAAGCAGGGCTAAAAGAAGAAAACAAAGAAATACCAGATTCATCGGACTTTCAAAAGACCTGTAATAGTGGCAAAGACCAAGAAGGTGGCAGCTAGCAGTTAGCTGCTGACACAAATAAGAAGTTCCCAACACCAGCTGTGGGCAGCAGACAGCAGCACACGAGTATTTACATGCTGACGTCTGTAGGAAGTTTTGCCACAGTGCATGGACCAGCAACTCCTTGAGGACACTATGGGAACAATACTTCTTATTTCTGTTTGTCTCCTACGATAAAGTTTGCCCACCAGCATCATCGGTGAAAATATTGCTTTGCTAAGGACATGTGGAATAAACTAAGTAATTTACTTTGACTCAAATTGAAACCTTAAAAGCTTATTTTTTGGACTGGCTCTTTTCCTCATAGAAATTCAGAACCAGTTTTATCTTCTGAGATGGACAAAAAAAATCCCTGCTGAGGAGAACAATGTAGGGCCCATTCTTATGGTTGAAATTTTTAGTTCTTGAGGAGGTACATGTTCAGATTCTCATACACGTACTCTGTTGTCCACGTTTGTGGTTAACCAGTGGAAAATATTAAAAATGAGGAAGTCTTTCAACAAGAGCCTTGAAAATGTTCCTAATACTTCAGTGTGCAGCTTTATCTTCCTTGCACATTCTGGGGAGAACTAAACGGCAAAACAGTGGCCTGAAAACACAGACCAACAGTACTTCTATCGTGTTAGTCAAGATCCCGCACTGTCCTGAAATTCTTAAAATGTACCATTCTAATGCTTGATATTTTACAATTAGTAGATTTTACTTACTTTGCAGTTAAATCTGGAATGCACTGAAGTATACAGAAAATTTATACATTTCTGAGTGGTGTCATGGACTGTTTTTATGCCATCTCCAAATGTTTGTTGAACTTGTGTTTCATTTCTGTCTAAGCTAACACTTCCCTTTTGGTATTGATCCAACTTTTAGTGTGTTGGAGTCTATACGAGTGTTAAGTGCCCTACTGGCAAGGAAGGGATGGCGGTATGGAGAACACAGTCCCTTCTCCCCATAGATGGGAACTCCCTCGGACACGCCGGTGGTGCATACACGAGACTATGCTGGGGCAGATTTCATTGTTGCTGCTGCTGCTTTCGCTATGAATAAATTATTGATGGTAGTTTCCTGTGCCTTCAAACTAGAAATTAAAAAATAAGAATGATGCAAATCTGGCAAGATTTATCTAAACAGCTTCTTCATATTTTTATGTGATCAAAGTAAAACAAAGATCATGAATCAGTTGGATGCTTATTTGAGTACGAGTTTGTAAAGTGTTTCACAGCGTCATTCTGCTTCATCTGTAATGTTGTATGTCTGTAATATTTTTAAATTGTCATTAATGTTGACATTTCTGAATTGAACTAGCATTAGCCAATGTTCACATAAATACAATATTTGTTAATGTTTTAAAATTGTCATAGGTGTTTCTGTATATTATGCTTTATTTTTATACACTTTTCCAAAGAAGCATTGTGCCAAAATGGCATTTCCTCAATTTATTGTATTTATGATATATTTACTTTTCGTATTATTTAGTGATTCCTCTGGCATCCACCTATGAAAGGCTTGGGTCCTCAAAAGTAGTTCACATAATACTGAATTGAATAGGAGATTGTTTCCTGGAAAAATGTGAAATTCTGTTGTGATGCTAATTAACAAACTGTATTTTTGTATTTTCATATGCATCCCAGAGATCAAACTCTCCAAGGTATCAAGGAGAGATCTGCAAAGTGCTGAATATCTGAAACATTGCTGAAAATCAAATTTTCCATTACTAAAAAAATCAGCAGCAGGCGTTGCTCATAACAGCCCCATCAGCCAGGGCATTGATGATTAATCTCTGAAGACACATATGCAAAATGTCCCAACCTCAGGATTTTCATAGTCTAAATGTAAAACTCTGATGAATAATAGCAGTGAACTGAGAAGAAACCAACTGATTGAAATGGATGCGAATTAGATATTCAGAGAGATTTTGAAATCTCTCTGATGTTTCTCCTCTGATAAAACATGAATGTCTTTAGAGCAACAAGTATTGGAGCCCAGTGCTGTAGGTGCAAGGACAGGGATTAGCAAGATCTGATGGTCTGATAGGTCTGATCTCTAATTCTTTTGCCGTGCCTAATTTACATGCTGTTCTAAATTACTACATTGTTATGCATCTTCTTTTAATGAAAATCCTTGGAGCTTCTTTGTTCAGGTGCACTCGGAAATAAAAGCCTCAGGGGTGACAAGGCCCTGTACATCCTGATCCCACTTTGAAGATGACCTAGATGATCTCCAGAGGTGTTTTCCAAACTAAAATATTCCCTGACAGGGATTAGGGGCCAGGTACCAAGCAACGTATCCACATGGGAAAACTGAAAATCCTGACTTCTTTGGATAACTGGAAGAGCAGCTTTATGTCTGAGTGAAGACATCAAGAAATGCTATTTCCACGTTGTTAAACTATCCCATCAGATAAGCCGACAGTTTCTCATGTGATAAATTGAAGCATGCGATCCGTTTTGTCACACAGTATGTGACTATGCCATACAGGCAAAGGAAGGGTCTCAGCACTGGGACACTTGCTAGAGACACAGCAAAGGACACTACTCAGGTCAGAGCAGATCTGAAGGATGGATTGATTGTGTGGATCCTTCCATCCTTCCCTCCTGCAGGGACAGTACCAGTGAGCCTGCAGGGACTGCTTCGTCCTGTGAAGAAAGGTTCACCCACTACATCAGATCTGCAGTTCTCAGCCCAGCTATCTGGATTTGTCCCTCGACTTCCTCAACTCAGCTTAAGCTATAAGATGCCTTGGAGAGTGTACAGAGCCAAACCTAGGCCGTGCTTCCCAATTTGACCTTTAGACAGCCAGGTCTCCACATGTATGGCTCACAGCGAGCAAGTTGTTCGCCAGTGTAACGGGGGTGAGATTCAAAAATTTCACTCTCTTTTATCTTCAGCATTTACTCAAGTATAACTTCCATAATTTGATTTAAAGAAGAGTGGGCTACCAAATAAATAAAACATTATTTTATTTTTACATGTGTCTCAGACATTCATATGTACCTGGGAGATAAATGGATTGCTGATTACTTAAACAAGTTTGCATACTTAAAAAAGTATGACTGTGAAGCATGAAGTGAATAATTTCTGGCTATGAACTAGAGCTGGGCAAACTAGTTTTTGCAGACAATATATCTGATCTGTTTGTTTATTCATCAATTTTACGTTATTTCTAAAGACTGCATTTTTTAAGCAATTATTTGGGGTAACTCACTTATAAAATACTATTCCTGTTTAAGAAATGCTTTCACATTCATTTTGCTTCAAGAGGATAGTTATACAAAACAGGCAAAAACAGATACGAATGAACTCAGACTCTCTATGCGTGACAAAGTTTCATCTGTATTTGGTGACCCTGTAGCTGGTCTGATTCTGTCCCTGCTATCACATACAACCCAATGTCGAATTACTGTTGGGTAGTGAGTGATGAAACCAGACTCAGAACCAGGCTTTCAAAAATGTCCACAATCTAACAGCTTGTCTTCATGAGCATATTGTCATCCTACAGGTCACGCTGTGCAACTGGTCTTTTAGGAAATGTCCTCTATATAGCGAAATGACACCCAAGCTGCCTCACAGGTTGGAATACCCGTCTTATTTTCAAAGCAGCACAAACTAAAGGTAGCAAATAAGGGTCAGGGGATTGCATCAGAGAGATGCAATCAGTTTTTTAACCTCTTTTGTGTGTAGAGAAGCATCCAGGTGGCAGCATCCCCAAAACTGCATCTCCCAGCATGTCTTCTGCAACTAGTGTCTAGAGACAAGGATGTGATACCTACCAGTCCTCTCCATCTCTTCTAGTCCCTCCTGGGGTGCTTTGCATCCCGCTGCACGCCCTCTTTCCCCTGCACAATCAACCTTTGCACAGGAGAGGGCGTTTCTCATACCCTATTTGCGCCAGGGATGCAGCATGGCCTCATCATGCAATCTTCAAGTGAAAGGAATGTGAACCATAAAAAGAGAAATCTGTTACCCCAAATTAGACTAATACTAATATCCTGGTAATAGATGTTAGTTTCTGCCATCATGAGCTATTGGTAAGAAAAAGTAGGACTCTAAACTCATATATCTCATCACTGTAATTCAGATCACTGCTAACTTCTAGGGTTTTACTCTCTTACTCCATCCTGTAAGAAACGCTCAGAGATAATGAAGGAAAAACCAGCCTTGCAGACAGATGGGAAGTCTGCTGATGAGAGATGATAAGCTACGTGGTAAGAATTTCACAAAAAATCACGTGAATATCATCTACACAAGCAAGCTCAAAATAAGCCTTCTCAGTACGCCATGAGATGATCCATCCTGTTTGGCAGCCTCAGTCTGTGACAGGGCCCATGCATTTCAGCCCGTGATCATAGCACATCCCCTGTATGTTCAAAGGTCTGTCTTGAAATATTTTCTTGAGGGAGATGAAGAATCAAAGGGAAGAGAGATACTGTGGGAAAAGGGTGTTGTACGATATACAAAGTCCTGAAAAGCTTTGTAAACCTGAAGTTGCAGATGTTCTGATGAACAAGTATGCAAATACCCGAGTGTTCAGAAAGCTACTTAGTATCATAGTTCCCCATTTGTAAAATGGGACACTTCTTCCCTTGAGCATTGTCTGTCTTCTCAGTTTAAAATACAAGCCCTTGCAGGAGATACTAGAAAGAGTGAGCAGGTGCATCGTATGCATATTCAGAGCTTTCTGCAACAGAGCCGTGAATGGCGTGGAGGCAAATATAAGGTACTAAAGCACAAAATCTAATGAGTCAGCACTTTCAGGGTCAGATTCAAAGCACTTTATTTGCTTCTATTTATGCTGGGGCATCAGAAAAAAAAAACAAAACAAAACAAAACAAAACATGCAGACTTTCATTTTAACTTTGGCTCTCTTTCTAGGTAACATGTGCACTAGACCCTTGGGGACTTCACTGGGATTCTTCCTCACTGGGATATTTTGGTGTGTGGAGGTACTTTGTTGCTTCCAAAAGGCAGGAGTAATACCAATCCACAGAGTTGACTTCCAGAC